GAGTAGGAAACGATAGGTCGGGTTTCCAAGAGTGGTGTAGAAGAAATGATGAAAGCTTGTGGACAGTCGTGGAGCTATATGAAGAGGACAAAGTGGAGATGTTCTGCTGTAGTCCTATATTCCACTCGGAATCCAAGCGAATAGTAATAATATAATGGTAAATACATACTCTTAGTTAGTCTGTTTGTTTGTTTGTCTTTGTTCCTATATGTTCCCAGTGAAACACAGGGCTTCAAGCTACAGGCTAATTTGAACAAAGCAAGAACTACAGTTTTTGCAGAATAAAATGGTGCCATCTTTTAATTCGTTGCCTTCTTGTCAGCTGCTTACAGGCCAAAGACATCATTAAATATATCTACAAAAACAATTTTAACATACTTGCACAGGGTTCATTTAAAAAAAATCAATTGGTCAATATATGCATACAGTATATATATATATATATATATTAAATACTATTCTGAACAATAATAATTATACACAATGGAAACTTTTCGGCATTACCAGGGCAAAGAAAGACTGATAACTGTTTCTTTTCTGAACGCAAGAATCAGGTTTCAGGCGCTTGATGGAAATGATTTCAGTAAACTTAAGGAGAATTGAGCTCTTTTGCCCGTTGATAATTTTTAACGAATTTTCAACGTTCACCCGTGTCGAGGAGATACCTGGCTATGGCAATGTTTATAGTAATTGTTCCCTTTAGATGTAAGCTTTTTGGTATATGTTCAGAAAATCGTAGATATTGTTATGTACTGGTAGAGAATTTAATAGTCCTGACGCAAAAAAGACGGAAATCAGAAGACCACTAGGTTTGCGATGATACTTCTATTTTCCAAAACACCAGGAGAATCAATGTCACACAAGTGTGTGAGAGCAAAATATGAATGTCCGAACAAGTGTGTGAACATAAGTGTGTGAGCGAATATTCAAAATGAACAAATCAATAGACAGTCTTAACATGATTGGCTAATTATAGGGGAATATCGATCCATATATACATAGCAAATATACAGACTGTCAAACAAAACACACATATTATATGGATATATATCAGATATGCCCTTCTTTCTGTCCTTCCAATGTAACTGCTCCCGCAGATACATGTAAATTTGTATATACAGTTGGAGTTAACATGAAAAGGATATCTACTGATTTTCGATTGCACCAAAAAGCAAATTGTTCGATAGACGGGGACGAGCTCAGCTGCAGGATAAGCCCTGGCTAGTGATGTACTCAGCCTTCTGTCGACCATTGCTGCAATGTTTTCATCTTTATAATCAAGCTGAATGTAGATTGGCTTTTTACCCACTGTGATTTGTTTTACATTTATGACTTTAGATCTTCCATATTTGTTGATGAACCTTTGAGGGTACCCACTGCTTTTCAACATCTTTTCAAAAAAAACTCATATTCTTCCTCTAATTTCTCTATAGAGCATATTCTCCTCACTCTATAGTACAAAGTCTTGACTAGTCCGCGTTTAAAGTTATTTGGACAAAAGCTATTAAAATGTAAGTATTATCCTTTTCAAGTAGGCTTTCGATAAATTGACTTCTGAAGACTACCGTTTACTAGGCGTTGCATGGTAATGTTGAGGAAAGCTCCAGTTACAATGACGACTGAATCTGAAAAAGTTAAAATGTAGACCACCAAATGAACGAGTTAAAGAGATTAAGTGTTTTGAGAACCACTCACAAAGTGGACTTTGACTTCATTTTATTTACGATTATCTTGTGAACAGTTTATACATTACCATTCTATTTCTACAAACATTTTTCTTTGCACTTTCACAGTACTTATTTATAATCAGTTCTGAATTAGAGAAAGAGAGAAAGCAAATGATTTAAAATGAACTCTGGTAGCCAAAATCAGTCGACTGGTCTTCACAGACCTTGGGACAATGGTTCCATTCAAAATAATAATAATAATAGCAATAGCTTCATTCTGAACAATTTTTCTTAAATAATGTACAGAATTTTTAGCTGAGTTCATTGCATGATACTTCCTCTTCGTTCAGGATTTTCAAATAAAGGATTAATTGACAGTAGATCGTGTGACACACTTCTCTCTTTGATCTGAAGCACAAACCAATCCAGCATGATGATGTCACTTCCTTTTCTCCTTTGAGAAATACACGACATTTTGTTGAATGCTAATAATAAAAAGTTCAGTAGTATATTTTGTGAACCAAGGATACCACTAAGGAATGGTCATCTCGGGTACCCGGGGGAAGCTGCCATCCATGATAATGCTTTTCCTTATGTTTAGTAGAAACTTGTGAAACCGCAAATTGTGAATATTTTAAATGCTTACGAGATTACATAATTATATGCGGTATATTGATGGAGGTTGTTTTCGCTAGCCCAAGCTGTAAGCAGGCTACCAGCTAGAAATAAGATCATCTACAGTGGATCTACAAGATATGCATTCTGAAGAGTTAAAACCATAGGTCTAACATTTACTTACACTAGGTGAGTTGGAGTTCAAATCTCAGAAGGGAAACGAGTCGCTTCAAGTATTCAAATACGCTTTACTTATTTTTATTTTTGATTACAGCTTAATTCCACACTGTATTTTTTTCGTACAAGTATGGAATTTTCAACATGCGATATCGGTAGCCCGAATTTTGCAGGCCGATCATGGATATCAGGTGTTCGTCGTCGGCAGGGGATCGAACCGTGGACCATGTGCATGGTCGGCGAGAGTACTAACCACTGTGCCACCGACGCGCACTGACTACTAAGTGTCAGCAAGCATGAAATCTAGGTTGAAAGCTTCCTGTCGACTGTCTCCAACCTTTTATTAACAATTCAGTATGAACCTTGTAGGCAAGCCACCTAGCTTGTTGGTAATCAGATTGCAAACTGGTAGAATTCAAGTTTAATCATGGATTGATATCAGTTAGAAAACCATTGGAAACTAACAGGGAGTACTGGACAAGTGTTTCTGTCGACCTAGTTTGGAAATCATCATCATCAGTAAGCACCCACCGTCAAGTTCCAAACCCACTACCTTCCGGTTTTAAAGGCAAGCTGATAGAATTCAGTCTATACCAAAGGCGAACTATTAGACACATGACTTTAGTTACTTTCTGGTGTACAAATTAATTGATTTGATTCAGAAGATATTTAATTACTTCAGTTTGACAGATTTTCAGTGTTAGTCAGCCACTATTATTATTATTATTGCTATTAGACATATTGTATTGCTGCACCTTATTACCTTAAGAATAAACTTTGATACATTCTATTTCTAATTTCTTTTACAGTAGAACACGATAATTAGCGAATTTCAAGTGTAGGAAATTAGAGAAAATTCAGAGAAATTGTCTGTATGCTTGTGTATGTATGTATGCATGCATAATATATATATATATATGTTTATGTAGAAGAGAGATTTCAAATGTACGCGCGCTTTCATTTGATTGGTACATTTAAAGAATATTTTTGTAGGCGGTAATATATTTTGCTACATTGACTAAAAACAAATCTCTCTATCCATGGGACCCTATAGACTGCTTTTATATACATTGACAGACATAAAAATTCATGCCTTATAAGACATAAAACATGAAATTGGATATTGATTGTAATTTAAATCGAAGTTCTGTTGTTGCTGTTATTTTATCATTATTATTATTGTTGTTATTACTACCCTTGTTTGCTTATTATATTACATAATACCATGAGACAAGAAGGATGTGTGATCTTGAGAAGCAAATATTACAGAGACACATTCAAACACACACACACCCTCTCTCTGTGAGTGTGTATATTTGTGTATGTAGATATGCATCCGTGTTCAAATCGAGCAACCGAATGATGAAGGAGGTGGGGAGGCAGAGTGAATCGAGTGAATTTCAAATTTTGTTACAATCTACATTTCTACTCCGCTAAGACATGTTGTAGCATATACACCCAAAGCTTGGAAAATCCCCCTCTGATATTGTTACACGAATTACCCTCCCCCTATTTCTCTCTCTCTCTCCACATACAACTCCACAGACATACGTGTGTTTGATATTTGTAAACATTGACCATAGAGTTGTATACATCTTTCATATTATTGTAATTTGGAGAATTTTTCATCCGAATTTGTTGTTATAACATTTCATGCATAAGACACGTGCTCTCTTTCACCCTAACTCCGTTTTTTTTTCAAGTTACCTGACTATACATAGTGTATGTGTGTGTGGAGAACGAATTTAGGTGAACGACACATTTCACAATCGGTAAAGGTTGGTTGGCTAGTTGAGTGGGTGGGGTGAGTGATGGTCAGTGTTTGTGTGTGTGGGCGGGGGGGGGGGAGACAGTGTAAAATTGCACTGTAATCCGTGACTCTTTTTCAATTGAATAAAATATCGGAACAAAATAATCTCAGTAAAGGAACACAAATAGAGATATCCAACATACACATACAACATACCTATACGCTGATATAGAAAAGTGCGTACGTGTAAAGAAAATAGAATAAATGTGCATTTTGCAACAGTGTAGTAAATGATGTGATCCCCTTTCCTATTTTCTTTGTGGTTTTTTACCACTACGAATAATAATATTAATTGACTACAATGTTTCAAAATAAATTGTTATAAAATGCTTACATTGTAATCGTTTCTATAATTGTACAGTAATAAAATTTTGCACTCACTCACTCACTCACTCACTCACTCACTCACTCACGCACACACACAGACGCACACCGCCACTATACCTATCGAAGTATTTCTATTACCGAGAATAATTCAATCCTAATCAACTGTAGACAAATTCCGTTACAAATTATGATGTTACTAAAAGTTAGTTGGCGCGGCAGACGTCAAAATCACTGAAATTAACAATATTATTCTTATTCTTATTGCTATATATTACTATATTACTATTTGTTGCAGTAGTAGTAGTAATAGTAGCGTTTTTCCAAGAAAAAAGAACGAGTGAGTGAGTGTGAGTGCGAAACAAAGAGAAGGGGAGGGAGAAGAGAGTAGCAATTTGTTGCACACAATGAATGATTACATTTACATGTTACCCATTACTGAAACATTTGATAATACCAGTCATATTTCCATTGCTAATACTAACAATAACAATACCAAGAATTATTTCACTACAATCACCGGAATAACATCAACAAAAACAGTTACAACTCAAAACGTGATCTCCACTAATGTATCAAATAATCAAAAGAGGAGTTGTTATGTAACAGAACTACACCAACATGGTTCAATATCATCTTTCTGTCCTACATTATTCAATGTTCAAAAGTCTGTCAATGATGATGATGATGATGCTGGCAACGTTGGATGTTATGCAACTGATAATAATGATGGTGATGATGATGATGGGGATGATGAAAATGGATTTAAGTCAGTTCATCAAAATAATCCTGTATTCTATCATTCTATTCAAACATGGCCAACTGGCAATGCAAGGAGTATTCCTGAGTTGAATAAATTCGAAGGTATTTATCCTGCTGAATGGAATATTGACAATAGACTGTTGACTTCAGACACATATCCTTCTATACAACCGGATAGTATTACTACTCATCATCATCATAATAATAATAATAACACGAGTGATTATTACTTTTCGCCCAATACAAATTATTTGAATAGTTGTAACAGTAATAGTAATATTACTACTACTCTTACGACCACTACTACGACTAATACTATTACTAATAATAATAGTGACAATGATAGTAAAACTGGTAATCTTAATAACACGTGTCCAATTCCTTCAGTCAGTCATGGTTATACCTACCAGCAAGAAATAAATTCCTCAGTTTACGAGGAACAACCCGCATATGGTTATAATAATAATAATAATGATAATATTCTACTCGGTAAATGTATAAACAAACCTGATTATCCCCATCCTATCATCAGTACTCCTACACTCCCTTCTTTAACTTGTCATCATCCTAATCATCAACAAGAACAAGAGCATCAGCAACAACAGTCATCGATTATTGAGTCTAATGCAACAGAACAACAACACCAACAAGCGATACAGAATAATTCTACACATTTCCCTTATGAAATATGTAATAATAATAATAATAATAATCGATCAATAAAAGATTATTCTAAAAGTTCAACAGGAATAGTTTATTCAAATGAGTAAGTTAATATTATTCTCTTGGTTATTACTCATTTCATTCTTATTGGTGTTGCAAGTGCAGTATAGGACTTTAAGATTTTTTTAGGTTCAGTAATGTTGTTGTTGTTGTTTGTCCTTAGACGGTTTGTTAACTGCACATCCAAACTCTTGGTCTTTCCCGACTGAAATATTGACTAGTTAAACTAGTAGACGTTTAGCAGTGCTATCATTAGCCAAGAATTGAATCCGGACTATATGTGTTACTGGTGAGCAATGTACCAGTGGACCACCAATGTACAAGTCTCTCTCTCTCTCTACCTGTAGTCTTAAAGGGACTTATGTACATGCTGATATTTGGACCCCAGCTCACCTATGGAGACGTTAGCACTAAGCAATTCCAGCTTGTAACTGATTGTTAAGCAAACTGGTACAACACACTGTTTCATTGTAGTCTCATGTAGCAAAGATGGTTACAGACATGAGCGATAATCACTTCTTCTAAAAAAGCTATTTTCATTAAAAAAAATAAAATAGCATAATTTACTTTTATTTAAAGTGTGTGGTATGAATTATTTTCCGGTTGTTATTCAGAAATATATTTTCTCCTGGAATAAAACACAGTTTATAAATCTGAAGAATTCCATTAAATGTTTAACATGTCACATCTCACTGTATCTACCAATTTAAGTATGCGTGTGGTCACATATGCATAAGAAGGATTCACAGATCTTTGTAGGTAAGAGCGCTTCAGAGCATATTCTTAAATGAATTCAGAAGTAAGTGGGAACTTCTGAAATTAAAAAAAAACATTTAAAAACTAAAACATGTTATTAAACCACTATAGCAATGGGCTATGACGCTACAATTAGTAGGCATGTGCAATAAAGCTAATCGTTTTCTCCTATTTTGGATTTGTGGTAAGTAATTCATATAACTTTCGAAAGAGTACTAGCGCTTTTACACACTATGTGTAGCATTCTTCACTGATCATGTAACTGAATAATTCACAAAGTTATAATTCAAAGCATTTAGCTCCCTTTATGAATTTATACAAAGCAATAAGAAGACGTGATTTGTCTGAATCGTTTACTGTTGTATTCATGCAAAACATTTCGAACAATCTCATCACACATGAACTTGTCATAAGAATATATATGAAATTAATAAAGAGTTAAGAGATGAAAAAATAGACTTGGGTCAAGTTAAAGGTTAAAGGTTAGAATAACAACGAAGATCACTAAACCAAAAAAAACAGAGGGAATAGTTCATCTGCCCTGGCTAGTATCAAAGTAACAAAGTTAACCAAGGAAGGTTAAGTGTGAACGTATAAAGGTGGTTTAAACTTCCTAATTGCCAGCTAGGGCTTTGACAAACTTCAGGATGTTGTACATCAACCATTCATAAATGGCTTCAGAAGCAGATAGAACCCCCAGAATCCATTACTGGTGAGGACAGACGACCTAGCTCCTCTATTACGAAAAATATTATAGAGACAGGACATAAGATTGACGTTAATACATCTTTTAAACCTGTCTATAAAAAGTGTATGGGGCATGTTGTGTAAAGTTTGTGAAGTTTAAGCCACCTTTATATATGTTCAAAAACATTTCGTCATCACATGAAACCTTCTAAGGGTAAATTTTGTTTCGATATCAGGGCAGATGTTTTATTACCTCCCTTCTTTAGTTCAGTAATCTTCATTGTTATTTTGACCTTCAAAATATCTTATTCGAGATTGGAAAAATGGCTATGCAAAGTGGTGAAAGATATAATAATAATAATTTTTTCCTTCACGTCCCCAGTGGAACATAGGGCCTCAAACTAGTGACTTGAAGTTTCTGAAGCAGTATTTAATTTTACAGGATTGGGTTGCTAGCCTCACACCCAACCTTTCCTCTTTTTACCAGCATTATTTCTGGCTTAGCGAAGTGAAAGGGTGCGTCGGTGGCCGGGGATCGAACCCCACACCATGCGCATGGTTGGCGAGCGTCCTAACCGCTGCTGTGCCACCGACTCTAATAATAAAAATGATAGCATTAATAAATCACTTTATTCCAGACAATAATATTTATACAGAATGGAATTTTGAGGATTTTTACATAAATTTCAATAATTTAGCTCCTTTTATAAATATGTACATATCTAAAATTTAAAATAGTAATACTTATATTAATAATGAAACCACTATCAATAGAATGTTGGAGGAAACAATGAATTACAAATAAATAATACATGTACTACTAATAATAATCTTTGCTTATTCTTTGCAGTTCAATTACTGATTTTAAAAAGTTTATAAGCTCTTTTGTGACATTTGTCACCTAACACAAAACCTCTTACTCGATATGGTATGGTTGAAGTTTTATATTTAGCTGATTTGAGTATAAATTCTGATGAAATTCCTTCCGCTTCTGCCCCCAAGGGATACAAGAGGAGAGTTTCGAATAAAGGGATCGTTTGGTATCAGATAAGATGATTTTAGCTAACAACTGCTTCCAAGAATTTGGATGTCTGTCCACAGCAACATTGTGGGTTGGTAATTGGGTCAAAGGTACACCATTAACCCTGCCTACTTACAGTCTTCAATGTTCCATGTAATATGACATAGTCTTCGTTGAGAAGCATGGGGAATTATAGGTGGGGGGGGCAGTACAGTTGAATGGACAGAATATATGAATTAATAAATTGTAAGAGAATAGGTGGAGTTATGCTGGAACGTCACAACTTCTTTTTGCAATAAGTCATATAAAGAATTTTCTTAGAAATCAACAGGATGTGAGACGACCAACAGAGATTTGAAGAGAGACTGATGTTGAGACAGGTAATATTCAACTTATTTTCTATCACATTGTTGTCAGTGTTATACTGATCATGGGAGTGAAAATAAAATCAGTAGGTACGACATTTGATGGATTTATTTGAAGACCATTTGAATGAGACCATTGGATAACTACGGATAAGAAAGTGTTCACACCAGAACAATGTAATGCACAATCTAGTGGGAAAGAAACAGTCAGATCATTAAGGATTTTTAATTAAATCAGCTTTGGAAGAATGCAGCAGATCATACAAAAAGAAAGAGGAAAAAAATCCAGAAAGTACATCACCGTGAGACACACCAACTTCTGCAACCAAGAAGCTCAACGTCCCCCACTTTTAAACAGTATGTTGTTTCCTACTTGAAAAATAGAAAGACAGCCACCTTGTGACCTAAGACTCAATGTCTGCTGAAACCAGTCTGCTTCGTAGAAGTGCCCTAGGAAATTGAGTCATCAAAAGCAGCAGTGCAGTCTAAAATGGGAGGCGTGAACAGACTTCGAATCTTTTTCAAGACTGGAAACAATATTGCGGTGAAGTACAACGACAGTATCTAAAATGCTTTTACTTGTATTTGTAAGCAAACTGCTTTGGGACACTGATAGATTTCAAAGAAGGTTTAAGAACAATTAATGGCTCTGTCTGTCTTCTCCTGCATCGTATCTTGTTACTGCCCTGTTCAAATTCATTAAAGCGGAATTCGTATTTGTGATATAATTTTCACTTAACAAAACCTTTTCAAATTAATTATTTGATGTTATTACATTAAAATGATTAATGTGCATGGAATTACTTCTCCTGAAACGAGATTTAAATTCACTGAACGAAGTAGTACTGAAGTCTGGTACATAAGATTGATTTTTCCGGTTGAGTAAATTTTTAAGAAACACTTTTCAGGCGTTCTTCTTTTTCTTTTAAAGGTAGGTATACTGACAAAATGATTACATTTTAAGTTAAACTTATTTTTCTTTAGTAGTGGAAGTGCCTGTTTTGAGGTCATATATCAGGAGACTTTAGAGGCTGACATGTGATACCCATATGGCTAGAAGATTTCATTGCTAATCTAACCAAGAAGAGGTATGGCTCTGCGTGCCTCAAAAACGAGAGGTATATATACACGTTTATATTGTTTATTGCATCAGTGGCGTACTAATGGTTACTTATTCCATCTACTTCATGGAAAATTCCTATTAGAATATGTGGGAAATTAAAACGAGTAATTCAGAGAAGAGACTTCTTTCAGCGAATTTATTTGTAGGCTGTATAATCGTGTATATATATGAGGTGAATTGTGACTAAATATTTCTGATTATAATCATAAAGTTAAACATAAAGTCACAAATTAGATTATGTAATTTATAAAATATTTGCCAAAAGAATGGTTAATGAACAAAGAATATTCACATTTTTGATAACCTGCTCTTCATCAGGCTCTACAGTTATATACCCATCCGTAATAGTAAATGAATTGGTGTTATTAACAACCTGAATGCTGCTTAAATAACATCGAATCAATTATAATAATACCAATAGATTACAGTTTAATAGCATCGACATAACAGTACTCTGAATATCAGAAAAAATAGGAAAGATAATAACACAAATTCATGAATTTATAGTCTACACTGAAGGTTGACCAGGGGAGTGGTAGTCGCGCTGATTGGACTTGCCTCTTCTGCAAACAGGCGAATTACAATAACCTCTGCTCTTTGGAGTATGCGGTACCTTGATGGTTTTAGCAATTTATTTGGTATCCGGTAGATGATAGAGAAGGATTTGTTAATGTTGGCTGGCTTTTTGGCCGGATTAGACCAGATGCTCTAGGTACTTCATATTTCAGTCGAGGAATCACTATTGGTCGTGTAGAAAATAATATCGGTTGCTACTGCTGATGAGTACCAAGAGGTGGCGAAACAGCTGTCAGTTAATCTCTAGTTTTCAGTGGTTCTTAGACTGAAGTCAGTTCTTAAAACTAATCAAATCCTTACGAATTAATTCTTGAAATTAAATAAATAAAGTTAAAAATTGAAATAGTGCTAAATATTGTTCAAAATGAAGAAAACTAATAATAATAATAACTATTGAAATAATGAAGTGATACACAAATTGAATAAACAAAAAGAAAAATAATAAGTAGGACCAAAGCGAGGATAGGGATTACAGTAATTTAGCATAGACGGATTAAGACTGTGAAAGAAAGAGT